CGTCTCAGACAGGTGGCTGTCCAGTCTTTTCTTAAAAAAGCAGCCACAGCTTCTGGTGGCAAGCTGTTCCACTGGTTAAATGTCTTCACTGTTGGGAAGTTTCTCCTTAGTTCTAGGTTGCTTCTTTCCTTGATTAGTTTCCATCCGTTGCTTCTTGTCCTGCCTTCTGGTGCTTTGGAGGATAGCTTGACTCCCTCTTCTTTGGGGCAGCCCCTGAGATATTGGAACACTGCTAACATGTCACCCCTAGTCCTTCTTTTCACTAAACTAGACATCCCCAATTCCAACAGCCTTGATGTTTCTGCATAGCTTGGAAGGGGAAAAAAAATGACTTTATGGTGGCAGATGATGCAATGAAGCGAGAATCCTGAGGGTCCCACAAGTGTAGTAGCAGTGAGTGCAGGTACTCCTCGATTTACAACCACAATTGAGCTCAAACTTTCTGTGGCTGAGACAGTTGTTACGTAAGGAGAGGAGCAAGGAGAGAAGCAACCTAGAACTAAGGAGAAACTTCCTGACAGTGAGAACAATTAACCAGTGGAACAACCTGCCTCCAGAAGCGGTGAATGCTCCAACACTGGAGGTTTTTAAGAAGAGACTGGACAGCCATTTCTCCGAAATGGTATAGGGTTTCCTGCCTGAGCAGGGGGTTGGACTAGATGACCTTCAAAGTCCCTTCCAACTTTTATTATTATTATTATTATTATTATTATTATTATTATTATTAGCTTTGCCCCATTTTACGACATTTCTTTCTTGCCACAGTTAAGTGAATCACTGCAGTTGTTAAATTCTTGTCTTGCCTTCTGGTGCTTTGGAGAATAAGTTGACCCCCTCTTCTTTGTAACAGCCCCTCCAATATTGGGAGATGGCTGTTATGTCCCCCTCCCACAAGTCCTTCTTTTCTCTAGATTGGCCAGACTCAAATCCTGCAACCGTTCTTCCTATGTTTTAGTCTCCAGGCCTTTAATCATCTTAGTTACTCTTCTCTGCACTTTTCCCAAAGTCTTGACATCTTTTTTTTTTTTACAATGTGGGGACCAAAACTGGATTCCAGGTGCGGCCTTATTAAGGCTTTACAAAGCGGTACTGATACTTCCCATGATTTTGATCAGGGGTCTTCAAACTTGGCCCTTTGATGACTTGTGGACTTCAACTCCCAGAATTCCTCAGCCAGGCACACATGCCTGGCTGAGGAATTCTGGGAGTTGAAGTCCACAAGTCATCAAAGGGCCAAGTTTGAAGACCCCTGATTTTGATTCTATGCCTCTGTTTACCAGTGTTTCTCAACCTTGACAATTTTAAGGCATGTGGACTTCAACTCCCAGAATTCCACAGCCAGCATTGCTGGCTGTGGAATTCTGGGAGTTGAAGTCCACATGCCTTAAAATTGTTAAGGTTGAGAAACACTGGTTTATACAACCAAGGATTGTATTAGCTTTCTTGGGGTCATTGGTGGAAATGTTGCCAGGATGCAGGTCTATTTTAGTTCTGATGCTTTGGAGGAGGGGGAGGGGGCAAGTAGGAAAAGCATCTGAACTTTGACCTCAGGCCCTGCTTTGATCCCTCTGGCCGGCTCAAAATACCATAGAGTAGCCGGAATCCTGATTTGCAGAGGCGGCCTTGAAAAGAGTCCAGCCTCGCGGGCCTCCCTCAGGCGCCCCTTCTCCCCTCTGGACGCCTTTCCCCTCCTCTTCTCGTCTCCAGGGCAAGGCGCCAGGGCTCGCAGCCAATCAGATACGCCTGGCTCCAGCGCGCCGGCCAATCGGAAAGAAAAAGGGCGGAGACCAACAGCCGCTTCGCTTTGTACACGGCTGGCTGGCGAGCTGCCTCGTGCGCGCGCGTCGCTTCTCCCTCGCGCTGTACACGCGGGATGGAACGTTGGGCGGCCGCGGCGTTCGATTCCCAGCCTTTGAACTCGGGACCTGGGTCGTGCGCGCGTCGTGTGAACGGGTTGCCCGGGAGGTTTTTTGGGGGTTTTTTTTTTTTTGGCAACACCATCTGAATTCCAGTTTCTGCCCCCCGCAGGATGATTCCCACCACCCCCCCCCCTGTGCTTCTCGAGCACGCTTCGGGAAGCCGTTCAGAGGTTTAGAGCCCATCTTTCTGCAGGATGCCCAGCCGATTTAGATTTATTTTCACCGTGGTTATAGTTTAGGCTGCGGTGTGCTGTGCCATCCAGAAAAATCGGCCAACTGTGGAGTCAGGTTAAGCGTGTTGTGTGAACAGAGGCAAAAGCTAACAGATAGACCCCCTGCTGACATGCGGCTGGTTAGTTAGGCCTGAAGATGTTTTTGCAAATTTAGTGAATAAGTTATTAGAGAGAGAGAAGGGACAAAGTGATCCTGAAGGCATAGTGAAGGTCCTCGATTTACAAGCCTTCATTTAGTGACCGACGTTACAGTGGTGCTGAAAAAAGTGACATTACTGTTTTTTCACACTTATTAGCAACCGGCGAGAAAAGTCGTAAAATTTTCGGCTCTGTTGTGGCCGTAAGCCGAGGACTTCCTGTGTTATCTTTGAACGACAGTGCCCATAATTTTGCTAATTATTTTGCCAGATTTATTCAGCATACTGGTAATCCTCGACTTAATGACCACAATTGACCCTAACATTTCTGTTGCTAAGAGAGGCATTTGTTAAGGGCGCTTTGCCCCCATTTTTACGACTTTTCTTGTCACCTTTGTTAACGGAATCGCCGCCGTTGTTAAATTAGTCACGCCGACGTTAAGTGAATCCGGCTTCCCCCATTGGCTTTGCTTGTCAGACGGTTGCAAGAGCGGATCGCCTGACCCCCCCCGGGGATGCTGCGACCGTCGTAAATATGAGTCGGTTGCCAAGCGTCTGAATTTTGACCATGGGAAAAGTCGAAACGTCGTTAAGTGTGAAAAATGTTGCTTTTTTTCAGTGCTAATAGTAACTTCCAGCGGTCACTAAGCAAGTGCTTGTAAGTCAAGGATCGCCTGTAATGTGCCGAGGTGGCAGACATCGAATCAAAGCTTTATCGGAGTTTGCTGATAGGTTTCCCACGGTCCCCGAAGCTGCTGAACATTCGGTTAACGGTGAAAATTCTTGTTTTTTGAAAGATCTTCTGCTAGTCCCTCCGCCGTCTCCTTCTCAGCACTGAGTTAATTGGGAGAGTCCATTGACAAGACACTCTGGAGGCCGTGAATAAAATTTACAAGAGGTCAGCAGTGAGTTAATAGAGTTTCCGCCGCGGTGGCAAAGAGCCAAAACAACACCACAATTCAGATGAAACGGCAAGCCGAGAGAGGCCTGTAGGATCTGGAAGGTTTTCGGCTTTGAACGGCCGTTGAGCCGGGCATCATTTTGGAAGTGGCTGGACCCGCTGTATTGATTTTTATTATTTATTTGTGTCCCGACTTTTATTTTTTTTACAAATAGCTCAAGGCAGTGAACATCTCCAACGCAACGTCCTCCTCCGATTTTCCCCACAACAACAACCTTGTTGTTGTGTGAGAGAGAGGGAGGGAGTTGCCCAAAGTCATCCAGCCGGCTTTCATGCCTAAGGCGGGACTAGAACTCACCGTCTCTTGGTGATTGATCCAAAGTCACCCAGCCGGCTTTCATCCCAAGGCGGGACTAGAACTCACCGTCTCCTGGTGATTGATCCAAAGTCACCCAGCCGGCTTTCATCCTAAGGCGGGACTTGAACTGTCAGCCTCCTGGTTTTTTGACACCAAGTCATCCAGTCAGCTTTCGTGTCTAAGGCAGGACTTGAACTCACCATCTCCTGGTGATTGGCTCAAAGTCACCCAGCTGATACTCACACCTAAGGCAGGACTAGAACTCACTGTCTCCTGGTGATTTGGTCCAAAGTCACCTAGCCGGTTTTCAGGTCTGGGGGTACCTTGCTCAATAGTAGTAACTATGAGAGGGATCTTGGAGTCCTAGTGGAAAAATCATTTAAATAGGAGCCAGCCGTGTGCTGCAGCTGCCCAAAAGGCCAACACAGTGCTGGGCTGCATTAACAGAGGGACAGAATCAAGATCACGTGAAGTATTTAATAGCACTTTACAAGGCCTTAGTAAGGCCACACTTGGAATCCTGCATCCTGTTTTGGTCACCACGATGTAAAAAAGATGCTGAGACTCTAGAAAGAGTGCAGAGAAGAGCAACAAAGAGGATCAGGGGACTGGAGGTAAAGCATATAAGGAATGGTTGCTGGAATTGGGAATGTCTAGTTTAATGAAGAGAAGGACGAGGGGGGACAGGATAGCAGTCTTCCAGTATCTCAGGGGCTGCCCCAAAGAAGAGGGAGTCAAGCTATTCTCCAAAGTGCCTAAAGGCGGGACAAGAAGCAACGGATGGAAACTAATCAAGGAGAGAAGCAACCTAGAATTAAGGAGAAATTTCCTAACAGTTAGAACAATTAACCAGTGGAACGACTTGCCACCAGAAGGTGTGAATGCTCCAACGCTGGAAGCTTTTAAGAAGAAACTGGATAACCATTTATCTGAAATGGTATGCGGTTTCCTGCCTGAGCAGGGGGTTGGCCTAGATGACCGCCAAGGTCCCTTCCAACTGTATTATTATTATTATTATTATCATCATCATCATCATCATCATCTCCTGGTGATTGGCTCAAAGTCACCCAGATGACTTTCATAGTTAAAGCAGGACTAGAACTCACAGCCTCCTGGCTTCTAGCCTGGTGCCTTTACCATTAAACCAAGCTGGTTCTCTTTTGCTCCCTTTGGCTGGCGTTCGTGTCCATCCAGGTGGCGGGAAATTGGTTGGAGACCCTGGTTCGAAACCCCCCAATGTTCCCCAAAAGCCACTTGCGGCATTGCTAAGTTGCACGGCTGACGCTGAGCCACCCTCATCCAGTTGCTTTATTTTCCTTGATTTCTTTTCTTCCTTTCGGCAGTCTGGTGTCTTTGGGGCGGATTCTCTCCTGAGGCCGTCCGATCCGCCCCAGAGCCATCTTTGCTTCTACCGGGATCTGCCGGTGCCGCAAAATCCAGGTTCCAGCTCCCATGTCGTTCAGTGCCACCATCTTGTTCTCCCCGTCCCACGGGAAAGAAGCCAAATGCTGCTGTGGCACTTGCAAGCAGGAGCCGGAGGGTCCCGCCACGGCCCCGCCACCCCTGCCCCCATCGTCCCCTCCGTGCACCCCTATCACCATCACGGGCACGGGTCTGACGGTCCAGTCCTCCGAGCAGCTGCTCCACCTCATCTACCAGCGGGTGGAAAAGGCGGTCAGCTTAGCCGAACTGGCGCTGAGCTTGGCAAGGGCCAACAACGAAGCCTTGAGACGCCTCGAGGAAGACGTGGCGGCCCTGCGCCGGGGGCCCCTCGTGGCCCTCAAAGCCAGCCCCGAGGAGCAGCAAACGGAGCCCGAAGGCGAGGAAGAATCGGAGGCCGAAGAGTTCGGGAACGGCGTCCAGGTGGTCATCGAGGAACTGAGGCAGCTGGGAGCCGCGTCGGCTGCAGTGGGGCGATCCGAATCTTTGGCCTTCTCGCCGGTATCGGCTCTTGGCGGAGTACGTAGTCTGGAATTGGGGGCCTCCGTCTCTCCCGCGCCGTCTAATCCGAGCCGTAGCCCCGTCCCTCCGGTCGGGCACAGATGGCATCATGAATAGTTGATGGCGTTTCTCGCGCTCCCTGCCAACCGGTCCTCCAGAGAGTGGCGATCTGGGAGCGGCGCCAAATCTGGGCTGGAGAAACTGCAGCGGGAGCTGAAAACCCTGCCATGGCTGGCAGCACCACCCTAGGCCAAGCTGGAACTGGGTTTGGCGCTGCTCGGGATAAATGAGGAGTTTAGGCCGAGCTGGAGGAGGGTTGGCAGCAAAGGAGCGTGGGAAAATCTTCCGGCAGGATGAGGAAAACTGCCTCCCAGCCCTGGGTGCTCATTTAGGCCTGGCACGATCAGGAGAGGCTTTGCTTTCCAAATGTGTGTTCAACGCATTGTAGATTTTGCCTTTCTAGTCCTCGACTTACGACGGCAAATGGGAGCAGAATTTCTGCTGCTCCCCGAGGCGGTTGGGCCCAATGATAACGCCCTTCATTTTCACGGGGAGTTAAGCGAATCGCTGCGTGTTGTTAAGTGAATCGTGGTCATTAAGCGAACCCGGCTTCCCCCGCTGATTTTACTCGTCGGAAACCCTCTGGGATGGTTGCTAACGGCAATCACGAATGACCACGGGGTGCTGCAACCGTCATAAACGCCCGCCGGTTGCCAAGGGTCCGTATTTTGATCATGTGACCAAGAGGATGCTGCAACAGTGTGGAGACTGGTCATTAATCATTTTTTTTTCAGTGCCTCTGCATCTTCAAACAGGCACTAAGCAAACGGTCGTAAGTCGAGGACTATCGCTAATGTTCCAACGAATCTCCTTATTTATGCATGTACGTCGGAAGACAGAAGAGGAGTAGAGTTTTCAAGGATAGAGTGGCATGAAAAGTATGTTTCAAGGAATTGGGGGGCTGTTTGCTGCCCCTCCTCTCAAAGTGCTGAAGCAGAGACGGTTGGAAATTGGAACACAGGGAGTCCTCGACTTACAACAATTCGTTTAGCGACCGTTCAGAGTTACAACGGCACTGAAAAAACCCGACTTACGACCAGTTTGCACACACTTAGGATCGTTGTAGCATTCCCCCACCTTCGCATGCTCAAAATTCTGACTCTTCGTTCCTATTTATGACATTTGCAGCATCCCAGAGTCACGTGATCCCCCATTTGCGACCTTCTCACTAGTCAAGCCAATGGGGAAAGCCGGATTCACTTAACAACCACGTTCCTAACTTAACAACTGTGGCAAGCAAAGTCGTACAATGGGACGAAGCTCCCTGAATGATTGTTTTCGCCAAACGATGACAATTTTGGTCTCTGTTTTTGTGCGCTTTCAATGGATTCATACATCAACTGTCTCGCTTAGCAATGAAAATTTGGGGGGGGGTCCCGTTGTGGTCGTAAGCCGAGGACTACCAGCAAAGGGGACTCCTGTTTGTGCAGGATGCGTATAATTCTCCTTCTCCCGCCAGGTAGCCGAGGAATGTCCTCCAGGAGACGCCCCAATGCCGCCGGTCTATGTTCCTCCTTCATCCCCTACCCCACCGATGGCCCATCAGCCACTTCTGCAACCTCTGGATGACCCCCTCTCTGGTCCAGAGGGGTCCCCCATCAGCGCGACCCAGGAGGAGACCCCGAACGGCGAACCCCATTTCTCTGTAGGCTTCGCCAGTCTCCCTTGCAGGAGCAGAAACATCGGGCAGAAGAACGCCAGGCGCAAACGGGATCTGGTCTTGTCCGTGAGTTGACTTCCCTTCCTACCACTTTACAAGGCCTTGGTAAGGCCACACTTGGAATACGGCATCCAGTTTTGGTCACCACAATGTAAAAAAGATGTTGAGACTCTAGAAAGAGTACAGAGAAGAGCAACAAAGATGATTAGGGGACTGGAGGCTAAAGCATATAAGGAACAGTTGCTGGAATTGGGGATGTCTAGTTTAATGAAGAGAAGGACGAGGGGGGACATAATAGCAGTCTTCCAGTATTTGAGGGGCTACCCCAAAGAAGAGGGAGTCAAGCTATTAAGATACAGGAGGATCTGGACAGTCTTTAACACTGGGCGCTATCTAACAAAATGAAATTCAAGGGTGAAAAAAGTAAGGTTCTACATTTAGGCAAGAAAAACCAAATGCACAGGTATAGTATAGGGGGTACCTTGCTCAATAGTAGTAACTGTGAGAGGGATCTCAGAGTCCTAGTGGACAATCACTTAAATAGGAGCCAGCTGTGTGCTGCAGCTGCCAAAAAGGCCAACACAGTGCTAGGCTGCATTAACAGGGATAGAATCAAGATCATGTGAAGTGTTAATACCACTTTACAAGGCCTTGGTAAGGCCACACTTGAAATACTGCATCCAGTTTTGGTCGCCACGATGTAAAAAAGATGCTGAGACTCTAGAAAGAGTACAGAGAAGAGCAACAAAGATGATCAGGGGACTGGAGGCTAAAACATATAAGGAAGGGCTGCTGGAATTGGGTATGTCTAGTTTAACGAAGAGAAGGATGAGGGGGGACAGGATAGCAGTCTTCCAGTATCTCAGGGGCTGCCCCAAAGAGGAGGCAGTCAAGCTATTCTCCAAAGCACCCGAAGGCAGGACAAGAAGCAACAGATGGAAACTAATCTAGGAGAGAAGCAACCTAGAATTAAGGAGAAATTTCCTGACAGAACAATTAACCAATGGAACGACTTGCCACCAGAGGGTGTGAATGCTCCAACACTGGAAGCTTTTAAGAAGAAACCGGATAACCATTTATCTGAAATGGTATAGGGTTTCCTGCCTGAGCAGGGGGTTGGACTAGAAGACCTCCAAGGTCCCTTCTATTCTAACCCAACAGCACGTGCCAGATTTGGCAGGAATCTTCTCTTTGCTCCCTGGGTGGGGGGAGGGAGAGTGAAGAAGAGAAGGGTGGACTTGAAAAAGAGGACCTCCCCTGATTGAATGATGGTTCTGGAGTGGAAGAGATCAGGAGAAACCCCACTATTATTATAATAATCATTATTATTATTATTACGGCCGAGTTTGTGACCCACAACACACCCGCCTTTCGGATCCGAAGGCTTGTCTGAATTGTGTTTTTCATCACCCGGGACCGAACGGCGTAAGAGTTCGGCTGAATTTCACCTTCTTCTCTCGTTCCCTTTGTAGAAATTGGTCCACAACGTTCACAACCACGTCGCCAACGAAAAGCGGTTTGATGGCGCAGAAAGGTGAGCCGCTGTGAAGGAAAAATAAAATGAATAAGGCTTTGCTAATTGCAGGCAGTCCTCGATTTAACGACCGTTTAGTGACCATTGGAAGTTACGACGGCACCGAAAAAAGTGACTTAGGACCAGTTTTTCACACTTAACGACCGTTGCAGCATGTCTGTGGTCACGGGATCAAAATTCAGCCACGGAGCTACGAGTTCAGGTTTATGACGCTCGCAGCGTCCCAGGGGGGTCACGCCATCCCCTTTTGTGACCTTCTGACAAACAAAGTCAATGAGGAAGTTAAGATTCACTTAAGGACTGTGTTCCTAATGTGATTCGCTTAACAACGGGAGCAAAACCAGCGGTGGGATTCAAATAGGTGAACAACCGGTTCTTTGTGTGGATGCCGCTTACGGAAGTCCGTTCTGGGCCCGGACAACAAAAAATTAGCGGCCGGTTCTGCCGAAGTGGTGCGAACTGGCTGAATCCCACCACTGGGCAATACTCACACTTGTCTCACTTAGTGACAGAAATTTTGGGCTCTCTTGTGGGTGTATGTTGAGGACTAACCTATATATCTTTCCCGTCTTGGGATCTTACTTTCCCGTCAAAGAAGGCTATCAGGAGCTCTGGAACAAAGCAAGCAGCAGATGGTGTGGTGTTTTCTATCACTTGTGCAGTCCAAGGGTGTGTCGGTTGTTGTGTAATGCACAAAGCCAGCAAAAGGGGTTTTTTTCCCATTTATCTGGCTGCCTGCTTCCAGGAAAAAAGCGGATCCCATAATCTGTCATTATCAGCAGCGTCTGGTTTATAGATTATGTGCAAAAGCATTTTATCAACGGAGAGCAGGGCTTTGCTATCTAAAATGGAAAACTGTACCGGTAGGTCCTCAACTTACAACCGCAAACGTTTCCATTGCTAAGCAAGAGAGTTAAGTGAGTTTTTGCCCCATTTTTACGACCTGGCTTGCCACAGTTGAGTTAGTGAACACGGCTGTTAAATGAATGCGGCTTTCCCCCGTTGTCTTTGCTTGTCCGAAGGTCGCAAAAGGGAATCACGCGACCCCGGGACACTGCAACCGTCGTAAATATGAGTCAGTTGCCAAGCGTCCGAATTTGGATCACGTGACCCTGGGGATGCTGCAACGGTCATAAGTGTGAAAAAATGGCCATAAGGTCTGTCCTTTCCCCAGAACAGCATTGGTCTTTTAGTGACGTTATTGTGAAGGCTTCCCAACACTGGAAGTTTTTAAGAAGAGACTGGACAACCATTTGTCCGAAATGGTATAGGTTTTCCTGCCTAAGCAGGGGGTTGGACTAGATGACCCCTCAAGGTCCCTTCCAACTATTATTATTATTATTGATCATCGCACAGTCAGCCAGATGTTCAGACTGGATTTGGCATTTTTGTCTACCTATTGAGTCCTTCCCAAGGACCTGGGATAGGCAGATGTGGATGTTTGATGGTTTTACAGATATCGTCGCAGGATGAAAGCAGTTCCTAGTAAGGCTGCCTTTTGCAATTGACTAATGGCGAATTTGTCAATACCGATGGTGTCCAAGTGGTGCTCCAGTTGTTTTGGGATTGCACGCAAGGTGCCTATTACTATGGGTACTACCCTTGCTTGCCTTTGCCACAGTCTTTCTATTTCTATTTGTAGGTCTTTGTATTTTGTGATCTTCTCCAGTTCTTTCTCGTCTATTCTGCTGTCTCCAGGCACTGCCACGTCCACTATCCAGACATTTTTTGTCTTTCTTATCGACAGTTGTTAAGTCCGGGGTGTTATGTGGCAGGTGGTTGTCTGTTTGAATTCCGAAGTCCCAGAGCAGTTTAATTTTATCATTTTCTATGACTTTCTCTACTTTACGGTCCCACCAGTTCTGGCTTGCAGGCAAATGATATTTCTTGCAGATCTTCCAAGGCACCATTGTTGCTACTTTGTCGTGCCGCTGCTTGTAGTCAGTCTGTGCGATCTTCTTGCAGCAGCTTACCAGGTGGTCCACTGTTTCTTCAGCGTCTTTGCATAGGCGGCACTTACTGTCTGTTGCTGTCTTCTCAATTTTGACTTTGTATGCATTTGTCTTATTATTATTATTACATCATCATTATTTTATGCTATTTTTTTTTAGTTTCGTTTTTGAAGTTTCCCGTTCTTCATCCGCTGGGCTATTTTACTCTGTTTCCTTCTTTTGCAGTATTAAATCGTCCTGGAATATTTCCGTAGTGAAGTTTTTGCTGGAAAAACTCAGACATGAATTGGTTTCCAATCACCATAATTATACGGATAAGGAACTAAAAGGTGAGCTGCTTTGGTTTATTTATTTATTTTATTTATTTTGAATGTTTCTACCCGTTTGGTTTCTGGGTTCCGCTGCTAGAACGGACAGGTAGTCCTCAGCTTAACCACGCTTCGTTTAGTGACCCGTTCAGAGTTACGACAGCACTGGGAAAAAAAGTGACTGACGACCGTTTTTCACTTACAAACGTTGCAGCGTCCCCCTGGTCACGTCGAAATTCAGTGGCTTGGCAACTGTTTCGTATTTATGACGGTTGCAGCGTCCCGGGGTTGCGTGATCCCCTTTTGTGACCTCGAGACAAGCAAAGTCAGATTCTCTTCACAACCGACTTAACAACCGTAGTGTGTCGCTTAACAACTGTGGCAAGACAGGTCGTAAAACGGAGCAAAACTCACTTAACGAATGTCTGGCTCAGAACAAGAGAAATTTTGGTCATAAGTTAAGGACTACCTGCTTTCCAAATTTATCCCCCCCCTCCCCGCCCCGCCTTCACCCAAATAATTATATTCCTTTTCCTTCACTAAACAGAAATTTTTTTCTTCGGCTTTATAAAAAGCTTGTAGTGTTTATTCTGAAACTGATGGATGATATTTGAAATGTTGACTTGCGTGCACAGAGAGATGCGTTTATAGCGGTCTCTGGCTATCCAGAGTGACCCTAATTCTGGCATTCTGGGGTTGCTGATTTGTGTACCCTTGTGCACAGACACACTTTTCTTCTTTTAGGTGCCTGCGTGGCCTACTTTTTGACCAAGCGACGCGAATATCGGAATTCTCTGAATCCTTTCAAAGGGCTTAAGGAGAAAGAGGAGAAGAAATTACGCAGCCGGCGGTATCGGGTAAGGCTCGGCAATATCCATACATTTTAATAATAATAATAAAGTTGGAAGGGACCTTGGAGGTCATCTAGTCCAACCCCCTGCTCAGGCAGGAAACCCTATACCATTTCGGACAAATGGCTGTCCTGTCTCTTCTTAAAAACTTCCAGTGTTGGAGCATTCACCGCTTCTGGAGGCAGGTGGTTCCACTGGTTAATTGTTCTCACTTTCAGAAAGTTTCTCCTTAGTTCTAGGTTGCTTCTCTCCTTGATTAGTTTCCACCCGTTGCTTCTTGTCCTGCCTTCAGGAGCTTTGGAAAATAGCTTGACTCCCTCTTCTTTGGGGCAGCCCCTGAGATACTGGAACATTGCTATCATGTCCCCCCTCGTCCTTCTCTTCGTTAAACTAGACATACCCAATTCCAGCAGCCGTTCCTTATATGCTTTAGCCTCCAGTCCCCTAATCATCTTTGTTGCTCTTCTCTGTACTCTTTCTACAGTCTCAGCATCTTTTTTACATCGCGGTGACCAAACCTGGATGCAGTATTCCAAGTGTGGCCTTACCAAGGCCTTGTAAAGTGGTATTAATACTTCACCTGATCTTGATTCTGACCCTCTGTTAATGCAGCCAAGCACTGTGTTGGCCTTTTTGGCAGCTACAGCACACGACTGGCTCATATTTAAATGATTGTCCACTAGGACTCCGAGATCCCTCTCACAGTTACTACTATTGAGCAAGGTACCACCTATACTAGGGGTAGGCAACCTTGGCTCTTTTATGACTCGTGGACTTCAACTCCCAGAATTCCTGAGCCAGCATGGCTCAGCATGGAAACCTCTCCCTTTCCCCTCAGCATGGCTGGCTCAGGAATTCTGGGAGTTGAAGTCCACGAGTTGACAAGATCAGAAATGAGGAGGTGATCAGCCGCCTGGGAAAGCCAAGGGAAATCATCAAAACAATTAAAAAAACAAAAAGTAGAATATTTCGGACATGTGATGCGACTCCCAGAAAAATACGGCACGCTCCATTTAATCCTCCAGGGAAAGATTGAAGGCAAACGAGGTCCAGGCAGAAGAAGAACATCGTGGCTTCAAAATCTAAGGGACTGTTTTGGACAAAACTCAACAGCACTTTTTCGTGTGGCTGCTGATAAAAACAGGATCGCCAACATGATTGCCAACGTCCAACCCCCTATACTATACCTGTACATTTGGTTTTTCTTGCCTAAATGTAGAACCTTACTTTTTTCCACCCTTGAATTTCATTTTGTTAGATAGTGCCCAGTTTTCAAGTCTGTCCAGATCCTCCTGTATCTTAAGCCTGTCTTCTGGAGTGTTGGCTATTCCTGCCAGCTTGGTGTCGCCTTGGGTGTGTCTAATCTAGCAAAAAGAAGGACCAGGGCAGACATGATATTAGCTTTCCAATATTTGAGGGGCTACCCCAAAGAAGGGGAGAGGGTGTCAACCTATTCTCCAAAGCATCTCAAGGCAGGAGAAGAAGCAATGGGTGGAAACTAACCAAGGAGACAAGCAACCTGGAATTAAGGAGGAATTTCCTGACAGTGAGAATAATTAATCCGTGGAACGGCTTGCCACTGGAAGTTGTGGGTGCTCCATCACTGGAGATTTTCAAGAAGAAATTGAACAGCCATTTGTCTGACATGGAATAGGGTCTCCTGCTTGAGCAGGGGGTTGGACTAGAAGACCTCCAAGGTCCCTTCCAACTCTGTTATTCTATTAGTCTAACAAAGAGAAGGACTAGGGGTGACATGATAGCAGTCTTCCAACATTTGGGGGTTGCTACAAAGAAGAGGGGGGGGGTCAAGCTATTCTCCAAAGCACCTGAAGGCAGGACAAGAAGCAACGGATGGAAACTAACCCAAGAGAGAAGCCACCTAGAACTAAGGAGAAATTTCCTGACAGTGAGAACAATTAACCAATGGAACAGCTTGCCACCAGAAGTCATGGGTGTGCTCCAACACTGGAGGTTTTTACGAGAGATTGGACCACCATTTCTCTGAAACGGTATTGCGGCCTGAGCAGGGGGTTGGACTAGAAGACCTCCAAGGTCCCTCCAATTCTTGTTATTCTGTAATTTGGTTGCAGGTGACCCAATCACTCTTATTCTGTTTATTACTTCGGTACGGGGTGTGTGTGTGTGTGTGTGTTTCGTCACGTTTTAAAAGTCAATGCAGGCTTCCATCGATTTTATTTCAGGATGTCTGTAAACAAAAACTTTGAAGCTTTTTCCCCCGATGTGGAAGAGGAAATTGCAGCAATATTCCACTGAAATCTAGCGAGAAAAAGCTATTTTCTCCCCCCCCTCCGAGGGTGATGGAATAATAGGGATTTAGCCAAGGGGCAAAACACAGATGTTAAAAGCAAACGTCCACAAAGGCAGCCCGATCGGTTTCCTATGAAAATATGAAATATTTAAAACGCAAATATAAAACATTTTAAAATTTAAAATAGCTCAATGCAAGCTGATCTCTGGAATTCTCCGTTAGGGGAATTCTCCTTCTAAACTCCATAAAAACGTTGGTCTCTTTTTTTTTTCCGACTCGGCCTTCAGCTGTATTTATTTCCAAATGCAAACTTCTGTTTTTATGACCTTCCTTTAATTGTATTTACAGAAGTGCCAGCTCCATTATCTTCCAGGCCTGATATACGATAAGTCTGGCAGTCTATCAACGTTACGGTGGGATTAAGCCTTTACTGGGTTTAATTTAGATTTAAGTTGTGGCCCCTTCGCTTTGCAGTTGATCGCAGAGGAAATATATACAGGGGATGTCACGTCTTCCATCATCCCGCCTTCATCTGCTCTCGGGCCTGGGACTTGTTTAGCAATATTCATCTTAAAATAAATGTCGAAGGAGATCCTCCGTCATCCAGGTCACGGCTGTCCCAAAGGTGCTTTTTTTCAAGAGGCACGTGGACTTTCTTGTTTTTTCTTTGAAGATGTTTCGCTTCTCATCACAGAAGCTTCGTCAGCTCTGACTGGATGGTGGAGGATGGAAAGATTTATACTCCTTGCAGACAGCTGGTCATTTGCATCCTTTTAGAGAGCCGTTGAGGCCACTTGGAGGTTTATCTGAGTCCTCAGTTGTCCCAAAGGTGCTTTTTTCGAGAGGCACGTGGACTTTCTTGTTTTTTCTTTGAAGATGTTTCGCTTCTCATCCCAGAAGCTTCGTCAGCTCTGACTGGATGGTGGAGGATGGAAGGATTTATACTCCTTGCAGACAGCTGGTCATTTGCCTTCTTTTAGAGAGCCGTTGAGGCCACTTGGAGATTTACCTCAGGGTCACCTGAGCGGTGCAAATGGGCGTGGAGCCTTCTTGGCTGCGGGATGTTTTCTGCCCCGGGTCTCTTTCCTGTTGAAACCTCTTCCAAGAAAAAAAGTAAGAAAGTCCCAGTTGCCTCCTGAAAAAAGTGTTCCAGTATCTCAGGGGCTGCCCCAAAGAAGAGGGAGTCAAGCTATTCTCCAAGGCGCCTGAAGGCAGGACAAGAAGCAACGGAGGGAAACTAACCAAGGAGAGAAGCAACCTGGAACTAAGGAGAAATTTCCTGACAGAACAATTAACCAGTGGAACAACCTGCGTCCAGAAGCGGTGAATGCTCCAACACTGGAAGTTTTTAAGAAGAGACTGGACAGCCATTTCTCCAAAACAGTATAGGGTTTCCTGCCTGAGCAGGGGGTTGGACTTGATGACCTCCAAGGTCCCTTCCAACTTTATTATTATTATTATTATTATTATTATTATTATTATTATTATTATTATTATTATTATTATTATCATCATCATCATCATCATCATCATCATCATCATCATCATCATTGTCATCATCATCATCATCATCATCATCGTCATTATCATCATCATCATCATCATCATCATCATCATCATCATTATTATTATTATTATTATTATTATTATTATTATTATTATTATTATTATTATTTTGACCGTTTTTCACACGACTCTTCCACTATCCCCGTGGTCACGTGATCAAAATTCAAGACGCCTGGCAACTGACTCGTATTTATGATGGTTGCAATGATTCACTTTTGCGACCTTCCGAACAAGCCAAGAGAACGGTCCGATTCACTTACCAGCCGTGTTAACTAACTTAAGAACTGCAGGGGTTCACTGAACGACTGTTGGGCTCGATTCTGGTCGTAAAGTGAGGACTGCCTGTGTTTCATCTTCACGGCCCCGCCCAGATCAGGAGGGTTTATTCCCCAACGGGCACGCAAGGTTGTAAAATGAGGCCAAACCCACTTCACGACTGCCTTGCTCGGCATTTGACCCCTGAGGTTGTAAATCGAGGACTGTCTGCATACAGTAAGTCCTCAACTTAACTACGGTTCCTTTAGTGACCGTTCAGGGTTACAACAGCGTTGAAAAAAAATGACGTAGGACCATTTTTCACCCTTATGACCGTTGCTGCCAGCATCCCTGTGGTCACGTGATCAAAATTTAAACGCTTGGAACTGATTCATATTTACAACAGTTGCAGCGTCCCGGGATCGTGTGATCCTTTTTGCGACCTTCTGACAAGCAAAATCAATGGGGGGAAGCTAGATTCACTTAATAACCGTGATCCTAACTTAACAACCACCGGGATTCGCTTAGCGTCCGTGTCAAGAAAGGTTGTAAAATGGGGCAGAAACTCAATTGTTTTGCTTAGCAACAGAACTCTTAGGTCTAATGGTGGCCGTAAGCCGAGGACTGCCTGTATATTTAATTTTGATGGGCCCTCCCAGATCAGGAGGTGTTTATTCCCCAACGTTCAGGGCACAGGGTAGGTGGCCAGCGGAGAGAAACGCTCTTCCAAAAATAAAAATTTGGGAAGTCAGCTTGCCACATGTCTGCATCCCGCTGATTTTTCCAATCTCGTTCAGCGAAGCCAAGATCTCGCTTTGGCTTCCCAAAGGTGGAAAAACGGAGCTGGTCGTGATCCATCGAAGCTTCCCTCGCCCACACCGCCCCCTCCCTAGCAGCAGCTGCCATGTGGGTGTGTGTATGTGTGTGTGGGTGATGCCATTTGCCTTAGCAAAGGGGAGTTGCAGGCCCGTCGGAGGGACCCGCCAGCTTTCAACCCTCCCTCGGCTGCCAAGAAGGATTTGCATTATTCACGGCCATCCCATCCGTGAAGCCTGTGTGCTCTGCCTCTTTGCCACGGGGTTACTTCCCGAATCCGCCTGCCAAATGTGGGACAGGGGACCGAGCCTTGCACGCACACACGCAAAGAACAGCAGAAAATACGGGTAGTCCTCAACGTCCGATCGTTCGTTTCATGACCGAAGTTACAAAAAGTTGACTTACGATTGTTTTCACGGTTAGGATGCGAAAGATTAAACTTTGGCAAGCTACGTGCCTCTGCGTTTCAACTTGCCTTTAGATTAAGGATATTAATGGCAGGTATTACTTTCAAGTGGATTCGATGGAGAAACGAAACTTCTGTGAATCGGCTGAAGACCGTGAAAGCCTGAAAGCTTTTCAAGGACATCAGAACAGGTGTGGATTTGAAGCAGATGGTTCCCATAACAAAGTGAACTTGTTTATATGGACTGCGTAAGACGGTGGGGAGTTTGGCTGGAAAAATGATTGTTTCCGTCTATGAATTGGGGTTGGGACCTCAAGCGTTAGTTTTGCTTCGACATAACCGTGCGGTGTATCCAGTAAACGTACGATTTTCAGTGACCGAAGTTTTATTTGGATCCGCGAGCTGGATGTTGACGTAGGATCTTTGCGGCATCGTCACGATCGCGGGTTCAAAATTCAGAGACTTGGCAACTGGCTCATATTTATGACGGTTGCAGTTTCCTGGGGTCATGTGTTCCCCTTTTGTGACCTTCTGACAAGCAAAGTCAATGGGGGAAGCCAGATTCGCTTAACGACCGGGTTACTAACTTAGCAGCTGCGGTGATTCACTTAGCAGCGGAGGGAAGAAAGGGGATAAAATGGGGAAAACTCACTTAACAAATGACTCAGCAACAGAAAGGAGGTTGAAGGGTTGGTGAACTGGTGTAAGGAAAACAGCCTAGTTTTAAATACCGTAAAAACCCAAAGAGATCATTGTTGATTTCAGAAAAGGCAGGCACAGCCACACTTCTCTGTGCATTAATGATTCACCTGTGGAGATGGTTACCAGCGTCAAATTCCTGGGTGTGCAGCTAACGAGTAGGCTGACTCGGTCGCTCAACAGTGAGAAACTGGTGAAGCGGGCACAGCAGTGCCTGCATTTTCTGCGACGCATGAGAAAAGCACATCTTCCTTCCCCCGTCCTGACCATTTTCTGCAGAGGGACGATCGAGAGCATCCTGTCATACGGCATCACAGTCTGGTTTAGAAGCATCACTGCTTCAGACAGGAAGATGGGGCAGAGAGTGGTGAGGACGGTCGAAAAGATCATTGGCAGTTCCGTCCCTTCCATCCAGGACATAGCACAGAAGCGCTGCTTGAGCAGGGTCCGTAAGATTATCTGGGACACTACACATCCTCTTCACGACCTGTTTTCCTTGTTACCTTCTGGGAGAAGGCTCCGTGGTTTCCGTAGCAGAACATCCAGATTCAGCCAGAGTTTCATTCCATACAGCATTAACCTTGCGAACTCTCAAGCTTCCTCCTTCCGTTATATATTCAAGATGGACAGTATTTAATATTTATTTGCTACGTCTATGTACGGATGTGGGTGTATACATATGTTGTTCCTAGTATGTTTAGGTGTGCGTCATGTATCACTTTGAGAGCGGGCAACTCAATTTCATTTTTGATGTGTGCCGTTGTGCCCACAGTATAAAAATGACAATAAAGGTTATCTTATCAATTGCGAAGGCCGTTGTGATAATGCAGGAAGGACTATAAGTGTCAACTCTTTCTTCCTCTCAAAAGATGGCTACGTTCCTCATAACAGAATAACAGAGTTGGAAGGGACCCTGGAGGTCTTCTAGTCCAACCCCCTGCTCAAGTAGAAGACCCTAGATCAGAGGTCCCCAACCTTTTGGGCACCGGGGACCGGTTCCGTATAGAGAGTTTTTTTTTCCGCGGACCGAGAATCCGTAGTTTTGTCTGCTGCCTGCATCTCACAGATGGGGCTTTGCTTGTTTCTGAGGACCGGTTGCTGGCATGCTCCTGGTCCACGGACCGGGGGTTGGGGACCCCTGCCCTAGATCATTTCAGACAATTTGGGGCTCAATTGTCACCGTAAGTCAAGGACAGAGGAGGACAGACGGGTAGGCAATGACAGGAGCGAAGGCCCGTTGTGATTGCAATCCAGGAAGAGCTAATCTCTCTTTTTTTCTTTCTTTCTTTCCAGCTTTTTGCCAACCGTTCCGGGGTGGCCCAGCTGCTGGGCTCGGAAGAGCAGCATCTGTGGCAAGGGGTAACCGAAGAGCTGATGTCGGACGAGGAAGACAGCGCCCACGAACCCGGCGTGTGGGTGGCGCGGCCTCCACGCTTCCGAGCGACGCCGCTCTCCCAGCTCTGCTACCGCCTGGATGCCAACTCGAAGCACGGCACCAAAGCCAACCGGGTGTACGGGCCGCCCTCCGAGCGCTTGCCCTCCGGGGAAGTCCAGCGTCTGCCCCCGCAGCTCTACAACCCCCGCTTTCAAGAGGAAGACCCCAGAACGGACACCTCAGCCCACCTCCCCAGCCACAAAGCTTTCGGGCCCGAGCTCAGCTCGTTTGTGGAGATCAAAGTGGAAAAGGACGAGTAAGACTTTTCGGCTCTTTGCAAGAGGACCCGCCGAATAAAAGCCAAGGAATGGAGGCCCGGGTTGCCTGCAAGATTTTCTTGGTTGTCTGAACTGGGAGTTGAGGAAGGAGAGGGAGAGAATCAAGATCACCTGAAGTGGTAATACCACTTTACAAGGCCTTGGTAAGGCCGCGCTTGGAATACGGCATCCAGTTTGGGGCACCACGATGTAAAAAAGATGTTGAGACTCTAGAAAGAGTGCAGAGAAGAGCAACAAAGATGATTAGGGGACTGGAGGCTAAAACATATAAGGAAAGGCTGCTGGAATTGGGGATGTCTAGTTTAATGAAGAGAAGGACGAGGGGGGACATGATAGCAGTGCTCCAATATCTCAGGGGCTGCCCCAAAGAAGAGGGAGTCAAGCTATTCTCCAAAGCACCAGAAAGTAGGACAAGAAGCAACAGGCGGAAACTAATCAAGGAGAGAAGCAACCTGGAACTAGGGAGAAATTTCCTGACAGTGAGGACAATTAACCAGTGGAACAACCTGCCTCCAGAAGTTGGGAATGCTCCAACACTGGAAATTTTAAAGAAGAGATTGGAGAGCCATTTATCTGAAATGGTATACAGTTTCCTGCCTGAGCAGGGGGTTGGACTAGAAGACCTCCAAGGTCCCTTCCAACTCTGTCATTCTATTCTGACCCAACAGCACGTGCCAGATTTGGCAGGAATCTTCTCTTTGCTCCCTGGTGGGAGAGCGAGAAGAAGAAGAGGGTGGACTTGAAAAAGAGGACCTCCCCTGGTTCTGGATTGGAAAAGATCAGGAGAAACCCCACAATTGTTTAAAGGGAGAAGAATGCAAAGAGATTTCTCTGCCTTCGGACTTGATCAAGACCAAACAGGAAGCAGAGTTGAGGGCCTGCAAGAAGCCACCTTGGCATCACGAGCGGGGTGGGGTGAGGAACTCGGGAAGGACGGACACTTCCTGTCCTGCAGCATCCTTGCATTTCAACCCGCAAATAGAGGCAGTCCTCGACTTACGACCGCAACCGAGCCCAAAATTTACGTTGCTAAGTGAGAACATTTGTTGAGGGAGCTTTGCCCCATTTTTACGACTTTCCTCGTCACATTTTGTGAACCGAATTGCCGCGGTTGTTAAATTAGTTCACACGGATGTGAAGGGAATCCAGTTTCCCTCTTTGATTTGCGTGTCATTTGCGTAAAATGGGCCAAAAATCCACTTAACGAATGCCCTGCTTAAGCCACTGAAAATTTGGGCTCAATTGTGGTCGTTAAACGAGGACTAGCAGCATAGTTTGCCTCCTGAATGATAGCTGTTACAGGCCGGACGAGCGATGGATGAGTTCCTCCGTCAGCGAGTTGTGCGCTGGCGAGGAGGGGAAAATTTGGTGGCCTCGTACGCTCTCGTTAGCTCAGCCGTTTGGCTGGAGGTACCCATAGCGCAGGAGTCTCCAACCCCCAGTCCGTGGACCGGTACCGTGCCGCGGCGTGCCAGCAACCAGGCCGCATAAACAAGCAAAGCCCCATCCACAGGATGCAGTCAGCACACAAAACCACGCACCTTCCAGTTCGCGGAAAAAAACCTCTCTCCACGTAACCGGTCCCTGGTGCCCAAAAGGTTGGGGACCTGTGGCTTAGAGACAGGTCTCTGTTTTATTTGCAGAAAGATTAAAAAGAGAAAAAAATGATGTGCTAAAACAGAGGTCACCCACCTTTGACGGTTGGCAGACCGGAGGAAAAGAGGGGGAAAGCATTTTACACGGGTGCGTGTGCGCACGTGCCCACGGGGCCGCAAGCACGCAGTGCCACAAACCGGGCAGGGCTAGCGCCTGCGTGATACTCACTAGCCTTGCCCCGTTCTTGTGTGGCACAGTGCCTTGTTTCTATGCCCCCGTGGTACGGCAGCGGCCCTTTTTGCGCCTTGCAGCACAGCGGCGTCCCGTTTTTGTGCCCCGTGGTGCAGCAGCGTCCCGTTTTCCCGCCCCGCCGTGTGGCGTCCTGTTTTTGTGCCCTGAGGTGTGGCGTCAGCCAGTTTTTGCGCCCCATGGCGCGGCGTCCTGGTTTTGCGCCCCGCAGCACTAGCACAAGTTAGGGGTTAGGCACACACACGTGCACACTGGCCAGCCTGTCCCGTGGCCACAGCCCACTACCGGGCCGCAGCCCACAGATTGGGGACCCCAGTGCTAAAACATTTCTGTGTTTCCTGCGGTCATATCAGCTTAGGCCGTCCCAATTTCCCTTTTGGCAGAAGGAAAAAAAAAACCAGAATAACGCCTCCTGTCTCATGCAGGGGGTTGGACTGGATGACCTCTAATGTCCCTTTGCAGCCCTGGGATGCTATGATCTCTGTAAGATGGGCAGGGAAACGTGACAAGAGGAATGCCCGGAAGGCTGCATTCACACACAAGAGTGGGGTGGTTTGGCTTGCAGCTTTGCCTGGGTTGAAACTCTGGGGCTGGCATTTTATTGGTTTTTATTTGTTTGCTTTTATCCTGCTTTAATGTTTTTATCAATAGCTCATTCTTCCTACTCTTTTCCCCACAACAAGAACAACCCTGCAGTATGGGTTGGGCTGAAAAAGAGGGACTGGCCCAAAGTCACCCAGCTGGCTTTCATGAGTAAGGCAGGACTAGAACTCAGAGTCTCCCGGTGATTGGCTCAAAGTCACCCAGCTGACTTTCATAGTTAAGGCGGGACTATAACTCACCGTCTCCTGGTGATTGGCCCAAAGTCACACAGCCGGCTTTCATGCCGAAGGCGGGACTAGAACTCTCTGTCTCCTGGTGATTGGCCCAAAGTCACCCAGCTGGCTTTCATGCCGAAGGTGGGACTAGAACTCTCCGTCTCCTGGTGATTGGCCCAAAGTTACCCGGTTGGCTTTCATGTCTAAGGTGGGACTAGAACTCTCCATCTCCTGGTGATTGTCCCAAAGTCACCCAACTGGCTTTCAGGTCTAAGGTGGGACTAGAATTCTCTGTCTCCCGGTGATTGGCCCAAAGTCACCCAGCCGGCTTTCATGCCTAAGGCAGGACTAGGACTCTGTCTCCTGGTGATTGGCTCAAAATCACTCAACCAGCTTTCATGTCTAAAGCGGGACTAAAACTCCCTGTCTCCCAGAGATTGGCCCAAAGTCACCTAGCCGGCTTTCATGTCTAAGGTGGCACTAGAACTTCCTATCTCCTGGTGATTGGCTCAAAGTCACCCAACCGGCTTCCATGCCTAAGACGGGACTAGAACTCCCCGTCTCCTGGTGATTGGCTCAAAGTGACCCAACCAGCTTTCACGCCTAAGGCGGGACTAGAACTCACTGTCTCCTGGTGATTGGCCCAAAGTCACCCAGCCGGCTTTCATGTTTAAGGCTGGACTAGAACTCACGGTCTCCCGCTTTCTAGCCTGGCGCCTTAAACCGGCTATCCTCCGTGCCAGGGGAGAGGACTTAGGCTTGGCTCAATTTGTGGGGAACCCCGGGATCCTCTCCCCGAAGCTTGGCATCTGTCCACCAGTCGGGCGCCGGCGATGGAGGGGAAAATTTGATGAGCTCAGCCTTGGAGGCCGATCTCTGTTTGATTTGCAGAAAGATTAAAAGAGGATTTGTAAGAGGGAAAACGGGACGAGCGAAAACATTTCTGTGTTTCCACGCGAGCCCTGCCTGTCCTCTGGTGGTTCCTCTCAGTAGTACAGATGGAGGAACCGGTCCAGATCTAAGAAACAGGCAGTCCTTAACTTATGACCGTTCGTTTAGTGACCGAAGTTACAACGGCACTGCAGAAGGTGATCTACAGCCGGTCCTCACATTTACAACCGTCGCAGCAGCTCCCCAGCCAGGATGATTGAAAATTTGGGCCCGGGGTAAATGGGGGACGTATTTACGGCGGTCGCAGCGTCCCGGGAGATCACGTGTGTTTGCCGCTTGCGACCCTGTCGGCAAAGTCGATGGGGGGGGGGAAGCTGGATTCGCTTAGCGACGGCAGTGGCTTTAGTAACAACTCAAGGGGCAGAAAAGGTGGTAAAATTAGGGGTGGCCCACTCAACAGGCTTAACGATGGAGTTTCCTGGTCTCAGAAATTGGGGTTGCGAGAATTAGCTGTACTTATTATTTGTGGTTTGGCAATCTTGATTAAAAATAAATAAATCAAGCTTTCTCCTTGCAATTTGCGGCATTCGTCGTTCCGTATCTGTGTTTCTTTCTTTATTCTTGTCTTTTATGCTTACTCCGCCCGGTGAGGATTAGAAATTCTTCTGGGACCACTGGAGAGGCTGTGGACACACACTGGATCTATAATTCACTGATGGGAGAGTCTGTTTAATGAGCTGAAGGGGGGAGGGGGGGTTGCTGGGCTTATTTTATATCCTGCCTTGATTATTTTTATAAATAAATCAAGGTAGCAAACATGCACAATGCTCCTTCATTCCCCCTCCCACTTTCCTCAGAACAACAAGCTTGTGAGGTGGGCTGGGCTGAGGGGGAGGGAAAGGGAAAGTCCCCCCAGCCATGTTTCATGCCTGAGGCAGTACTAGAACTCACCGTCTCCTGGTGATTGGTCAAAAGTCACCCAGCCGCCTTTCATGTCTAAGGCAGAACTAGAACTCACTGTCTCCTGGTGATTGGCCCAATGTCACCCAGCCACTTTTCAGGTCTAAGGCAGAATTAGAACTCACTGTCTCCTGGTGATTGGCCCAATGTCACCCAGCCACTTTTCAGGTCTAAGGCAGGACTTGAACTCACTGCCTCTTTGGCCCAAATTACCCAGCCTGCTTCTGTGCCTTTGGCATGACTAGAATTCACTTTCTCCTGGCGTTTGGCCCAAAGTCATCCAATTGGTTTTCACACCCAGGGCAAGAACTGGAACTCACATCTCCTAGCTTCTAATCTGGTTCGCAGGTTGAAAACCAGGACCAGGTCCAAACAGGATGGAAGAACCCCTATTCCAAAGAAGGCAGAGAGAATCTCTCCAACTACACCCAATCTCCAGATTCCCAAATTGTTATTTTTTGGTGTATTTTTTGCAAATTATCCACCAGGAAAAACAAACTAGACTTGGGGAATAAGAAAGAGCTGTCGTCTCATTCCTCCTTCCGTTATATATTCAAGATGGACAGTATTTAATATTTATTTGCTAGGTATATGTAGGGATGTGGTTCTATACATTTGTTGTTCATAGTATGTTTAGGTGTGTGTCATGTATGTGTTTCACTTTGAGAGTGGGCAACTAAATTTCATTTTTGATGTGTGCCGTTGTGCCCACAGTAAAAAAAATGTCAATAAAGGTTATCTTAGCTTATCATCTTATCTTATCTTATCTTATCTTATCTTAAATGGAAACGACTCGCCTTGCAGAATTGAGATTTTAATGCACAGAGAAAGGAAAGACAACCGGGGTCTCCCCCACCTCCCAATCAGCTTTCCTAAATTTCATATTTAAGGCATTCCCGCCGTTCCCTACCAAAGCCCATGCTGGCTGGGGATGATGGGCGTTTGCACCTAGACAATTGCACCTACACAACTGAGCACACAGCTACCTGATCCGAGGGGCGAAAAAAACCCCCAGGATCATTAAAAGCCAAGAAAAGAATTTTTTTTCCCCCCCAGATCAGAGCTGATAGAATTGAACGGGGGGCGCCCGGTTGCAGAAGGCGAGACAAGACAACGCTGAGCCTAGGGAAGAGTCGGACAGCGCCCCCTTTGGGTTACTGGAGGGAAATAGCCAAGGCGCTTGACCAATCAGAAGGCTTAAAAAAAAAAAAGCGCTCGGAGTCCCTCCCCCTCCTCCGGCTCCGGCCCGTCCTCATTGTCAAGGCCACGCCTTCCCTTGAAGCTTCTCGTTCGCCCATTGGAGGCTTCCCTGTGCGCTCCCTCCCCCGGCGGTCGGGAGCGCGACCAATCTCCGCCCGCCAGCTTTTCGGGGGGAATTCTCGGCGCGCGAGGCGGACGTCGGAGTTGGTCCTCGGCGTGGGCGGGGCGTTTAATCGAGCGCGCGGGAGGAAAAAAAAAGAAAAGGGCGGGTAGAGCGGCCACGCCCTCCCGTGACGTCACAGGTCGGACTCCAGGGCTTTGCTAGGGAAAGAGGGGTTGGTTGGTGGGGGGGGGGAAATGCTTAGGGGGGGTGTAAATCCCCACCACTTTCTCTCTCCTCCCCTTTATTTGCTTTGCAGTTGCTTTGCAAATTGGGGGGTGGAGCAACGGAACTGGGGTAGTCTCGAGGGGAGCTTCACCGGTTGCATTTCTGCCTGCTGCTTGGCGGGCTACAGCAAGGAAAAGTGAGGGCTGAGGCTCGGGGTCCGGAAGGATGCAGGGCTTGTTGTTGGGGGGGGGGGGCTTTGGGGCGATTTTCCTTGGGGCAGGGGGAAAAAAAATCAGAATAAGCCCCTCCCCCTGTCCTGTGCGGGGGTGGGGTTGGACTAGATGACCTCTGATGCCCCCTTGCAGCCCTGGGATGCTCTGATCCCTGTAGGGTTGGCAGGGAAACTAGACAAGAAGCACGCCCGGGAAGGCTGCATTCACACACAAGAGTGGGGTGATTGGCCCAGAATCACCCAGCCAGGTTTCATGCCTAAAGTGGGACTAGAACTCACCGTCTCCTGGTGATTGGCCCAAAGTCACCCAGCCGGCTTTTGTACTAAGGCGGGACTAGAACTCACCATCTCCTGGTGATTGTCCCAGAGTCACCCAGCCAGGTTTCATGCCTAAAGTGGGACTAGAACTCACTGTCTCCTGGTGATTGGCCCAAAGTCACCCAGCTGGCTTTTGTACTAAGGCGGAACTAGAACTCACGGTCTCCTGGTGATTGTCCCAGTCACCCAACCAGGTTTCATGCCTCAGGCGAAACTAGAACTCACCGTCTCCTGGTGATTGGCCCAAAGTCACCCAGCCGGGTTTCATGCCTAAAGTTGGACTAGAACTCACCGTCTCCTGGTGATTGGCCCAAAGTCACCCAGCCGGCTTTTATACTAAGGCAGGACTAGAACTCACTGTCTCCTGGTGATTGTCCCAGAGTCACCCAGCCAGGTTTCATGCCTAAAGTGGGACTAGAACTCACCGTCTCCTGGTGATTGGCCCAAAGTCACCCAGCTGGCTTTTGTACTAAGGCGGGACTAGAACTCACTGTCTCCTGGTGATTGTCCCAGTCACCCAACCAGGTTTCATGCCTCAGGCGAAACTAGAACTCACCGTCTCCTGTTGATTGGCCCAAAGTCACCCAGGCGGCTTTCATGCCTAAAGTGGGATTAGAACTCACCGTCTCCTGTTGATTGGCCCAAAGTCACCCAGGCGGCTTTCATGTTTAAGGCTGGATTTGAACTCATGCCCTCCCATTGTCTAGCCTGGTGCCTTAAACTGGCTATTTTCCCTGCCATATGAGAGAGGAGAGGATTTAGGTTTCTCTCAAATTGTGTGGAACATCACCCCTTGTTCCTCTACCCCAGGGGTAAGCCACGTTGGTTCTTTTATGACTCGTGGACTTCAACTCCCAGAATTCCTGAGCCAGCCTGGCTCAGCTTGGAAACCTCTCCTTTTCCCCTCAGCATGGCTGGCTCAGGAATTCTGGGAGTTGAAGTCCATGAGTCATAAAAGGGCCAAGGTTGCCTACCCCTACTCTACCCGAAACTTGGCATCACCCCTATAAATAGGGGGGTATAGGATTCCGCCTCTTCTGCAGTCGGAAACTCCTGCCCTTTGGGTCTGAGTTCGGATCCTAATCCTCTCCTCCATTCTGGGTTGATTAATCTGGAGGGCACCAAGTTGGATTTTTTTTTTTAAAAAAAAAGCTATAAACGTTGTATACGTCTACAATTCCCTGCTCCTGAAAAGGAATCATCTGGATTTATTTTCTAGGAGTTTTTTCCCCCCCCTCAATCAGATTCCTCTCTCCTTCTTAATGTGGCTTCTTCTAATTTTATTTCCTTTTTTTTTCTCCGCAGTTTCCCCGAAAAACAGGCGGAATGGCGGCTTCGGGAGCTGTGGATGCTAATTTCCTGCAACAAGGTCATTGCCGGGTCTTTCTGGGAAGGAACGTTAAAAAAATTTTTAAAAGGGGGAAATTAGCTTCCATCCACCCCCCATTTCTGTTTCCGCAGGTTGTAGGAGCCAGCTGCCCCCTTGCTCGCTGACCGTCGAGGATCTCTCTGCTTATCCTGGCTTGGCTAACCTCCTTACGGATCTGAAAAAACACATCGATCCTTCGGGGATGAGCATCGCTTTGGCCCAGCCGTTGGAAGAGGTGGGAGGAAGGATTGGTGGGGGGGGGGGGGACAAGGAAGTGGGTAACAGTCGGCATATAGGAAGTCCTCAATTTACAGCCACAATCGTGCCCCAAATTGGTGTTGCTAAATGAGACATTTGTTAAGTCAGTTTTGCCCTGTGGCAAGGCTTTTCTTGCCGCCTTTGTTAAATTAGTGTCAAGTGAATCTGTCTGTCTATTTAATCTATCATCAAATCTATTTAATCTGTCACCTATCTCTCTGTCTCTATTTATCTATTTAATCTATCACCTATCTCTCTGTATCTATCTATCTATCTGTCTATCTATCTATCTATCTATCTATCTATCTATCTATCTATCTATCTATCTATCTATCTATCTATCTATCTATCTATATTTAATCTATCACCCATCTGTCTGTCTGTCTGTCTATGTATCTATCTATGTATCTATGTATCTATGTATCTATGTATCTATCTATCTATCTATCTATCTATCTATCTATCTATCTATCATCTAATTTATTTAATCTATCACCTATCTCTCTGTATCTGTCTGTCTGTCTGTCTGTCTATCTATCTATCTATCTATCTATCTATCTATCTATCTATCTATCATCTATATTTAATCTATCACCTATCTCTCTATCATCTGTCTGTCTATGCTCTATAGCATACCCAAGATTTCACTATAACCAAATAAAAATAAAAATCCTAACATCTCTATTTCAGGACACCTAACAACAAAGAAATAATCTAGTCGATAACACGTGAATCTATTAAACATTAGATCCTTTACGTAATTATGCAACCAGTTTCAAGGTATCCCATTCCGGAGTCTCTGCCGCCTCTCTGTATGAACCCGGTCCGGTCGCTTCCTAGGTGTAAGCACAGGTAGTCCTCGACTTACGACCCCAATTGAGCCCAAAATTTATGCCGCTAAGTGAGAAATTTGTTAAGTGAGCCGTGCCCCGTTCTACGACTTTTCTTGCCGCCGTTTCTTAAGCGAATTGCTGCAGTCGTTAAATTAAGTGTCGCAATTGTTACGCGAAGCCGGCTTCCCCCGTCGACTTTGCTTGTCAGAAGTTTGCAGAAGGGGATCACGCGGGATGCCACGGCCGTCGTAAATATGAACCGGTTGTCAAGCATCTGAAGGTAAATCACATGGCCATGGGGACGCGGCAAAGGTCCTACGGGTGAAAAATGGCCCTTTTTTTCAGTGCCGTCGTAGCTGCGAACAGTCACTAAACGAACCGTCGTAAGGCGAGGACTACCTGTATTCTGGAAAATCCCATTTTTCCTTGTCTGGGATGGGCTGTTGCAAAAGGGAGGGAGGAGAATGAGGATCTGAACCAGGTGTTTTTCAATGGAAGCCCCTTGAAAGCAGGCTGGACTTCAACTCCCAGAATTCCCCAGCCAGCTGTGCTGGCTGGGGAATTCTGGGAGTTGAAGTCCAGCCTGCTTTCAAGTGCCCACGGTTGAAAAAACGTTGATCTTCCAGGGAAGATCCTGGGTGAGTATCGTGTTGCATTGCAGATCATCGTAAGCAAGAATGAGCAAATATTCCCTGCTCAGCCTGTCGGAAATCTGGTTGATCCTCTCTGCACTGCAGAGAGAGAGAGAGAGAGAAAACAAACACCACCACACACAAAAAAATAAATAAATTACGTATTTACAAATGTAAAGCTACGGGGTTTGACTTCTCTTGAGGCCAGGCTTATTTCTTATCGATTATAGCGCTCGACGCACAGTAGCTGGCTGCCCTACTTGCAGGTTGCAAACACAAGGCAAGCCGCAAGGAGACAGCGGCAATAATAAAGAGGAATCGTGCGTTGGGCTAGATCCAGTTCTTGAGGGCGTACAGAAGTGCTGTATTTTGCCCAGCGTTGTTTATCCAGTTCCAGTTAAAAGATCCGTCGGGTTGTGTGAATCGGGTAGCTCGCTTCTGTCCGGGTTGGATTCAAAACCATACAGGGGGACCCAGTGTATTCATCAGGGCTGAAATGAAATTAACTGGAGGTTAATTCTCCCTATTGGCGCTCTAAGAAATCTTTTTTGGCGGGGAAACGGGCCGGGTGTTTTGGTGTCTGTTTGCAAAATGGTGAGATGGAGCCTTTCTTTGCTCTTGTGTACAGCGCCCCTACGCTGAATAGTCTATTACAGCTTATATGTATTATCTGCCTGTCTGTCTATCCATCTATATTTCTATCCATCTATATTTCTATCTATCAATCTGTTTCTCTCT